GATTAGTGGATATTCAAAAAAGCTGTATACCCATTATATCGAATATTATTGCGTCAATGAAAAAAATAGTGTCCAATCTCGCGATATTATTTTTTCCTGGAACTCAAATTAGTTTAAAGTTATGTGCTTCACTTATCTTACTTATAGTTACTCAGATAATGGAGCTTAATTAAACTCTACGCAACCGTTATATTTAATGTGACATAAAGTTGCAATATATTCAGTTTGATGAAGAGAAATTTCTTTTGGGGGTATTGGGGCTATTGGGGATATTTTATTTGACCTTACTTTCAAGAAATTTCTTTGGTCCTTAGTATTTTGCTTAGTATTTAAAATGCATTTGCAGCTTCCATACTATTTTTGAAATAACATACTCTTAAATCATAGAATAAACTTATTCCCTTATTAATGAGGAACTATTTCGGCATAGTTTGTATGTTATTCTTAGCATAAGTTATGTATATACTATATACTACCATAAGCTTCATATACCATATTTGCTAAAATAATTTTAAATTATTATTATTGCTTTGCAAGCTTAATTCTACGTACAAATAAATTATTGTGTCTTGATTATAATTTAGTTGTTGTTATTACACAATTTCGGAAATATAATTGAAAATTCATAGAAAGACAATGTTAGGTGTATTTACTAGATTATGAAGTTGCCGATAAGCTAACACACCCATATCTGCCCGTAATTCCACATACTCCTGCGTAAATTTTATTTCTATATAAAGCAAATATTAAGTTGACGTTTATCAAAGCAGAGACGTAGAAGATTTTAAATATAGAAATACAGTATTAAGTGTCTTATCAAACAGCTTCAGTAATTCAAAGCTTCAGTATTTAATACAAAATTTAGAAAAAATAAAATCTGTTTTGCGAACAAAATTTTATAGTCACTGATATCGAAGCAATTTGGTACTGTTAATTAAGATATTGTGATAATAAAGCAAATATGGTATATATTGAATAATTTTTAAGCGTAGTCACATCCGCCCCTGCACCTACTAGTACTGCACTTAAATTATGCAATAAAAGTTGCTTACATTGTATTACAATATTTTTAATGGGATATATTTTTGTATTTAAATTAAATATAATGCATAAATTAAAGTAAATTGAAACCATAAAATAATAGAAAGTACTATATTTGCAGGAAAATGCACCAAAATTATGCAAACATACACATAATTGCACATTTGGCAATGCATTACTGCAGCTCCATTTATTGTGTGTTTTGTAATAAATAAATAACTTTAGTAATATGATAAAAAAATAATTTAAATTCATATTAATCTATTTTTAATTTTCAGAATTCAGTAAATAACATTCTAAATAAATATGGAGTAGTACTGAGTACCTAAAATAAAGCCAGTAAAGAATGTGAACCATGGCTGGGGGTGTTTGAACACTAATTTTGGTAATAAATATGTAGTAAAAGCATTTGGAACCATAATAACTTTAAATTAAAATTGATATTTAATATCATTGCAGCAAGTATTTGCTCTGAATTACTAAAATTACTTATTTATGCTTCAAAAAAAAAATGTGATTATAACCGAAATATGCTTTTGTATACATTTTATGGACTTTAAATAGGTTCAGATATTTTTATTATTTAATATAACTGACATAATTTATTAAATAACTGTTTTAAAAACGATTTATATGCTCACAATAAAAAATATCTAAGAAATTTATTTTCTTTCATACTTTATAAGATATAAACAACAGGATACACATAACCCAGTAGGAAACGGATTGATCCGTCATCAAAAACGTCTTAAAGACATGGATGAATGCCTGCAGACCGATCGATTTCAAACAGATTAACTAAATGTCTTTAAAGACATTTTGCGTACATGTCTTGAAAGGTGGATGCGTCCATTTCTGGCATAACGGATGTATTCGATTAAAAGTAATGCGCTAATCATTTAGATTCTTCCCATCGTTTCTTTTTGTATTCCTTTTTTGTGCTCTTTAAATTATAAAATTTGTTGCTCTTTAAATATCTAGAAAGAAATAGGTACAAAGTAAACCACCTCTTACGAATGATTGCAACCGCTTTCAGCAGATGCAACTTTTTTTCAGTAATATTAAACAGCGAGGGAAGCAGTCAGGCTTAGTAATTAGCAAGCTAAATTTATCAGAGCCAGAAAGCATAACATAGTAATACTTATTCAGCGAAGGATGGGCTTATATATGAAAGGTGTGTGATTAGCACAAACTTACGGGGAGTCTAGCTAGGTCAAAACCAGAATTTAAGTTCTTTGGCTTTTCATAGTCTGCAATTCTATTGCAAACTTTGACATCAACCATACAAAAAAATTATAAATGTGTCAAATTGTACTGAACTTTTGTTTATAATTTGAATTAGAAAGGTTCTCTAAATTTGAACTTATAAAAGCCAGAAGTTGTTCTATTTTCGACTCCTCTTTTTTTATTTTCGATCTTATGAGTTCCGTTGTTTCCTTAGAGAAAGTGAACTTGTTTGGTTTGCAATACCGAGTAGAGAAAAAAGTTCATATTATCACATCACATGACGAAGGACAATTAATGCCGAATTAACATCAGTGCGGTGCGTTTCTCATGAAACGACATCTGCACTGCTGCTCCAAATAGAACACAAGTCAGAAGATTTGTTGAGGCCCTATGCTCGACTGGAAGTTAACGGAACAAAGAAGAAGAAGATCACATCACGTCACACCAATGTGAGAACCTCAGTCGGAGTTTATTCATTTTTTAAATAAAATTTTTTTAATATAGATATATTATTTGTGTCAATCAATATTATTAGATTTTGGTTTCCGAAATCATGAAACTGATGCCATGTATTTTCATCGAAAATGGCTACCTATATTTTAAAATGTCACTCTACCGTTTAATTCCAATTTGATCTGACTACTCCTAATTATTGGATGAAATTACTGTAAATACAAGTACTCATTGGGCACAATTTATTACCTTTTTTCTGCATCTGATATATATCCTTTGACTATTAACACATTGCCTTCCGTCTTCCGTTTTCATTATTACATTATTAATATGGGTGGGTTTCGTTTGGTGGCGCACAAATGCTCTTAATGGTTTCACGGGATGTATAAAAGAAAATCGTAAAATTATTTAATGTAAGATTGTTCGAATAGAAAATTTTTGCCGCGTTGGTCACATTTGCAAAGAATTACACAAAATTACTTCAAGTTATCGCTTTATTACGTTTTATTCGTGCCTAATAGTCTTGCGATATCGTAATTGAATTTTTGCGGTAATGAAAATCAGAGTAATAAAAATTATGAGTACACGATGATGCATGTAATTAAATTTTTTACTTACTAAAGTATTTCGATAACTAAAGTCGAATAATCACAAATTGTTACCAATTTTGCCACGATAAAATAAAAGACACAGACCCGGTATGAGGTTAAGGCTATTTGTATGAGGTTAAAATTACTTGTACTTGAGTAAGCCATCCTAATGAATTGCCAGGTAATAATACTTATAATACTCATCAATAACATTACTCTATACTAAATTGATTTTAAAGTTTAATATTCTACCAGTCTTGTTTTAGGTTTGAGAAACATCGCTCGCAATCATTTTTATAAATACGAAGACTAAAAAAGTCTGTCGCCACGGCTGAATATCAATGGACACCTGAATATAACCGAAGTCACTCATAATTACTTCGAAATATTCTTGACATAAAATAATCTAAAAATTATGATAAATGTTTTCTTTCAGTGAATTGGACCTCCATTAGAAACATATTTTTAAAACTTGTAGGACATATCAAAGGATTTATGGAATATATATATATGTCAAGTACTAATCTAAACGGAATAAGATGTTGTGATGGAGATCGATTAGAACTAGTTAAATCAAAAATTCTCAAAATAATCAATGCAATTTTGTTGATTAAAAATTATTTTTTTTTTATTGCCCCACTGTCAATTTATTATCATTATTATTTCAAAATTGATAAATAAGTATTTTAATGATAAACCGCCACTGCTCATTTCGAATATATTATGATTAGTATAACCACCTCTGTAAATTTAGAATAATGTGAGTAATATAAGAAATAAAAGTAATAATTTTCAGAGAAATTTTAAACAAACTACAGTGATCTATGGAATTATCGAATATAAAGCATTGAATGTTTGAATGACAACTACGCTATGTCCACATAACAACGCTATCTATAATCTTTGCTCAATGGGCATGACAGGCGCAATAGATCCTTAATTGTAGTACAATTCCTCACAACATCAGAATAATAGTTGAAATTAATCACTATATTTTAATCGGTATGATCAGTTATGTATAGAAAAGACAGTAGTATAAGAATATTCGCTATCGCCATGTAGTAGGTTTAATGTTTCGATTCGTCAAATGAGTAAAGAATTTTAAACTAGCCACCAACGATTGATTTACAATTGACTATAAGGTAATATTGAAAATAATATTAAAATATATTAGTAATGCCATAGTATTAGTATTTAATATCAGTTGTCTAATTAAGTGTGATAAATGAGTCTTGTGCTGTAACCTTAGAGAAATTAATACTTTTATGACAGATTTAATTAAAATCAGTGCCTATTACTTTTAATCGCTTGTTATGTCTCATTTCATCACTGCTGCATTAGGTGCATTATGCCTCTTAGTCTTATATATAACGGATTGATCAAATCAGCAGTCAGGATATTTGAACTATTCCTAATCTTGATGACTTGATGACTCCCTGAAGAATATCAAACTTCGACATAACATAACGAGATATTGTATTTCAATATGCCAATAATTTACTTCCCATATAACGAAATTGAGTCGCAGTAATAAATATTGCTCTTCTTCAAAATAATGGGTATATATATCCAATAATCAATATCCGATATACAGTAAACACGCTGTGAAAATATCAAAGTAGGCAACCTAAAAACATATTCATAAATGTAAATTTATTTATTCATTAAATTTGTTATTTTATAGAAATAGTTTCCTTTTTTTATTCTCCGAAAAATTTCAAAATTTTGGTTTTCAAATTACCCATTGAAAGATAATGTGCAATTAGAAAGGTAAAAGGTAATGAAATATATATAATTTAAAAATAATTCAAAAGAAGCCACCGCATTCATATGCAAGTATTTTTTTCCATATTGCTATATATATATATATATATATATATATATATATATGTAGTTAAATGATATATATGGTACATATTCTTCTTAATGTTATTCGGGATTCGGGTGACTCCGGCGACTGGTGACTGGAAAATAAAACTTCGGGGTATTTTCAGAAGAGAAATAAATTTTAAATTTACAATCAATACATTTTCTCATACTTCCAATCATCTTCTTATAAACTCAGAGGTGCTCGTAACTAACTGGAGATATGAATTTGAAAGTCGTCATAACAATTCCATTTTTCATCAAAATAATAAACAAAGTCAAAACTGATTTTAAATTAACAAAATAATGGAATTGTGAATCCTTCAAATTTAAGAATTTAACAAATTTAACAATAGATTTAATAGATCTTTATGCAGTCAATCCCATAGATTTTCAGGTGGTTGTACATGCCATTAAAATCTCATAGTTTCGGTAATGTCTTAGAAGAATTAATTGGGAAAAAGCAGAGAAACAAAAAATTTTATAGAAACTATTTCTCTTATATTCATATGCATATGATGGCTTCTATTCCATTATATACATATATTCTATACACTATATTCCACATACAAATGGTAGATATAGTATATGTTCTCTTAGTTGTACGTGGAACAACTACATATTTTTTACCACAATTGTCTACATCAATCTCGTAAATGATATTTCTTCTCATTCTGAGGAATATCTTTCATGCTGATTATTTGATGAGTGTTTTTTAGATCTGGTTCACCACTAGATTAAAACCGATGTGAAAGGAGCACGATATTAAAATCTGCATATCCAAAATATTGAAGACATTCCCTTCTTCGCTTATAAAGCATCATGGTTTAGTTTTACTCGTTGCATGCAATAAAGACTTCATCACATTCGTATATTCGACAACTTCGCACTTTTTGTCCATATTTTTAAATCTTTGAGATAACCTGATATAGAAATAAAGTGTATTCGCTAGCTTATAGCACTACGTTCTCTCCTAACTCCAGAAATTTAGATTGAAAGTCCATTGATGTCATTACTTATATTTCTGAATTAGTGATCAACTTCTCTCGTTAATCATTCCATTGTTAGTTCAGTGTTCTTATGCTTTCCGTTACATATTCCAAAATGTTATAAATACTGAAGAGGATATTCATTATTCTAAAGTTTCTCCGAACATTGACATGAGTTTGTTATAAATCTTAGGTGATCTGACTACAATTTGACGATTCTTCACATGGTTGACTGTTGACTTAATTCCAATGTCGTATATATCTATATGTATATTTTTACTTATAAATATACAAAATGATTTATACATACATATACATAACAACTGTATAATTTTCAATATATTTTAATAGAAATTTTTGATCAAGTGGGCATGTATATTTACACGGATATATGAAAAAAAATTTTTTTTCTATCAAAATTTTTGTGAATGAAGATAATTACAGAAAATATCCCGCAAATTTAGAAAACGTATCAAAATTTTGGGTAAGGTAAATTATTTGTCAAATGCCAATAGAAGGTGTACGCGGTTCGATTAAGGAAAAGAAAATTATTTATTTATCTAATTAAACGGTAAGTTTTATTTATATTGTGAAAATACAACTGAAACAAAACGTATCGCAGAACATTCTAAAAAAACCTTTCTCTGAAATCTGAACAACTCTCAATCATTTTCGGTCTACTGAATATTTATTGATTTGATGCTTTTTATGTTCTTGTTCTCTTGGATCATTTTTCTGAAAACTTTAATCGTTTTAAAATTATTCATTAAAAATGCAAAATTTTTTAATAATTTATGACCTTTTAAAAAAATATTGTTCAAAAAATCTTCCATCTACCACTCTGTACTCTTCTCCTATTCTATTCCTATCCTATCCCCTATAATTAAATTTTGTTGGAATATTCTGCAATCGGTAGCTTACTTCGAAAAGAATTTGTGTGGTATGCGAAAAATAATTAGTACTTCTTGTAATACAACAAACTAATGGGATTAGAAAACTCATCAGCTATGTCGATGCATGTTATATCCATACTACAATCTTTCGTAATTTTAAACAGATTTTTTAAAACCCTACTTTATGGTTAAAATTTGTTTAATCACAAAAAGAAATGAAGCGTGGGGTCCAAGTCATGCAGGAAGCTCTAAAGGCTACCAGAAAAATAATAAATAAAAATGGTAAGCATTTTTTTCAAAGCTATTCATATCACGTTTTATAAAAAAATACATTATTTTGATGTCATCAACTAGGACCTAGTACGGTAGTTAATAAGTCAATTGAATCGAATACAAGCAATTTAGTGTCCACAAACAATATAGGTGATGCCAGACACCTTACAGCGCGGATGTGTAGCAACAGTAGTACGGTGGGTGGAAGCAATCTAGTTAAGAAGTGGCACGAGTTGCATAAACAAGAAATTGTAAAAAATTTAGCAAAGTCAGGTAAACCTTCTTTATAATTCAACAGTTGTGAATTAACCTACCTTACCTTACCTTTTCCTTAGCTGACGACATTGACCGCATTTATGGACCGAAAATAATTGCTAGAAATATCTTAGCATATAACACTGGCAAGAGTAAAAATGAAGGGAATATCAGGAAAGTTGATAACCGTGCAGACAAAAAACCCAACCAAACTGTGTGTAAGTTAAATAAGGTTGCCGAGAAGCTTTACGGTAAGTGAACTCTTTATTTCTTTAATATTTTTTATACTTTTGTAAAAATTCTTGAAATTCCATCATGAAACTTATAACATCTTAGTTCAAAAGACGTACCAACCAGAAAAACCACGTTCGGTTGAGGTTCCTATGGCACAAACTCAAACAATCAATAAAGGTCAGTAGATTTCAATTCACCATCAAGAATTGATTCTCATTCGTATCAGGACTTTTCTTACAACAAATTTTAATACTTACAACCGCTTAATTAGCTATAAGTAATTACTATATATATATTCGTCTTAACTTTGTTAGACCCAGTAATGTCAGGAAATTTACGAAGAAGTAATTCGGACTCGACACTTTCAAAACTTCATTCCACAAAGACGAAAATGGGTAAGTTAAATACTATATAGGAAGATGAGAAATGTCCATAAAGACTAATTCGTAAGCTTCGATACTTTGATATCAGTTTTGACTAATAACTTTTTTTATATGAGATTTTGATACTTCTGTTTACTCAACGAAGTAAGAGATTTCCTGATTATATTTTTGTTTTTGTGTTTTTATGTCCAGAATCATCCGGGCCTGTACGTAAAGCTCAATCGACATTTCCGCTTACGTGTATGAAACCTAAGTATACGTATGGCCATTACTGTCAACACTGCACAATGATGAGTAACATACGTAGAAGGACACCACGTCAACAAAGCGAGTTTAGAGTAAGTTTTGTGTTGTTTGTCCAGTTTTAATAGCGTCTTAATTATAACTTTATTTGCATTTAGGCCGCCATTAACCCGGAAAGTTTTGATTTTTCAGAGAAACTCTTCGGCACAATCAAAACGCAACGATACTAAATGTACAAAAAATATTCAAACGCGACCGGTGCCAACAATTTTTTCATCATCGTTGCGTGCGAATATATTCTGTGAATGATGTCGACGAGAAAATGATTCACGACTAACCGTCCATCTATATATATTACACACAGAACCGTAACAAAATTAGGTGAAACATAGTGATCTGCAGCTGATGTGCTTAGGAGAAAACATGATCAAAACGTTACCAAGCTCAGTTCACAGTACCTATCATAAAAATTGTGTCAAGAGTGGTGTCACTTCAGAAACCCATCTATCCGTAGCTAAAAATTGAGATTGAAAGTCCTGAAATTCATTTTGTCACTGAAGCACTAAAGACTGCAGCGAGTGAAGCATATGAGGTGTTTCTTGATTTACATCCGTTAAAAAGAATAAAGAAATGCAGTAGAAGAGATGATTGCTTTCACTCTACATATCACCTCTTGCGTTTTTAGAATACAACCATAAAAGGATTCTAAGCACAGTGACAGTGAAGAGGACTGCAGACCGGACAATCATTTTAAAGCCATGCAAAATACTTCCACTGCGCCCTCCAAATTGTAAAATATTGTATTGCGTATAAAGCATAATGATGGAAATTCGGTGAGTGGTCCTTTCGTGAATTTTAATAGTTATGACAACAGAAAAGATTACATAAAAAGAAAAGATATAAGATGTTAAAATCACAACGGTGATTACAACAAAATAATATTTGTCCGCATACGACCGTTACACTGTAAAAAAAGACTGCAAGCCAGAAATGAAATAAAATATTAAAAATTACTGCAAAACTTTGTTTATTGCACAACTTTGTCTTTTATCCTTTGAAAACTTTAGCTACAGGATTGCACCAGTAAGCTTTTTATAGAACAATAGATAAAAATAAACAGCAAGGAAGACGACAACAAAGCCAGCGACTATGAAAGTTTTTTCGAAACGAAGTTGAGAAATCCTTTTAAAAATTTCACACTTTCTTTTAATTTTGCAGATTTTTTACAAGTTTTTTTAGATGGTCAAAAAGGGCCTTCGACGTTTTTATGTCGCATAAAAACACCATTAAAACAGTGAAGTCCAAAAACTAAAGTAGTTCGATCGCATGAGAATAAAAAAAAATCATAATGTTATACTTTAATACGATAATGAAACAGTTGCGGTCACACAAATATTTTAAATAGTTTCTAGTAGTTACTAATGAGGACAACTTCGATCTACCTGTTAACTACCGAAATTGTAATAATAAAAACGTTTCATATATAGGAAAGTTAACGACTGCAACTCACTTTAGACTGACAAAAAAAGATTCTAGTTGGAAGGTCTTGAGTGGAAAGCAGCTCATAAATTTTTTACCTTTAGTCAAGTACCCCGTATTCATACTCTTGTCATCCCTTAGGTCATATACAATCATTCTAGGATTAAGGCGTTGTTGACAATAGTTCTCATCAGTCATAGAAATACTTTTTCTTTGTCACATATAACATCATATCCCACCGATTCGTACCAAACACTTCATTCACTCATAATACGTTACTATTTCTTCTTCCACGACTGCCAGCTATTCAAGTTTGTTTGTATTAATATCATGTGACAATGTAACAAATGAAACCGAGAGACACCACGTGCCACCAATAAGATTAGAATAACTTGTATTCGTAAATATATATTTTCTCAACATTCATATATTTTTTTTTAATATTCTTAACATTGAGTACTACTAAGTGGGCTAATAATTACCTGACTTTACAACATGTTGACATGACTTGATCAGATGTTTGCAAATAATTGAAATAGTGCACCTTGGTGGTTTTTTATAAAATGGAAAGAATTGAACATCATTCAGGAATGAAATTCCTCCATTTCAAAGGAATGAAGAATGATGCAATCAAGTTGGAAATGAATTCTGTTTACGACAACCTGGCACCATCGTTAATAACAATAAAATATTGGAATGCTGAATTTAGTAGGAGTGTTTTTGATGAAGAGCGTCTGAGTCGTCCAAAAGAGGTCAAAACTAAAAAAAAACATTGAAAAAAAATTAAATTGATTGAGATAGCAGAGATGACAAACATATCATATAAACGTGTGTCGAATATTTTACATAAATATTTGGGTATGACAAAGATTTCGGCAAAATGAGTTCCCAATCTTGCAGACTGTGAACTTCGAGTAGTAACAATTATTGAAACATGGATCTATTACTTTACACCAGAGGGAAAACAACAAGCCTGAGAATGGGTACAGCCCGGGGGTAGTGCCCAAACAAACACAAACTTTGGGATTTAAGAAAAGTAATTTTCATAGACTATTTGGGTTATTAAAAAGCAAAACCAATAACATCAGACTACTATTATATATTTTTGGAAAAATTGAATGAGGATTTTTAAAAAAAAATTACCAAATTTGTCGAAGAAAAAAATTTTGTTTTTGAGGGATAACGCACCTGTAATTCGTACCGAAAATGTATTTCGCTTTTCATCTTTCTAGTTGTTTTATTTTTATTTATTAATAAAACTTTGAAATTTGAGTAGGAATATCATATTCTATTTAAGGTATTTAACTTTTTTATTCCTGACACTATGGTCCTGACACTATGATCACCTGACTAAGTACCTTGGTTTGAATTTACCCTACAGAATCACAATAACGGTGGAACTAATAAAATAATATTTTGATTAAGCTATATGGTATCGTTTCTCTCAGAAATCTATACTTGATTATTGTACCTTATGTCGTACTATATGAACTAGTGTTCCTCATTAACTGTTGTTCAGAATGTCAAGAGGTTTTGTTTCGTATCTCATGAAAAGAGATGAATACATGCAACAAACGATTTTTTGATTTACAGTATTTAAAGGGTACATAAAATAGAATACTAAACCCTAAAGAATATAGAATACTAAAACCTAAACCAACATTATCAATGAATTTTTTATTTGAATTCACATGTTTAATGATAGCATTCAATCAGCGCGTTTATAAAGAATATATTTGGATAGGTCAACAACATACTTCAATGGAAATGATTAAATTTTAAAAAAATTTTATATGTAATATATATTAAGCATATATAATTCTTGATTATATGATATATATAGTTCATTTAAAGCAGTGGTACCCAACCTTTTTTTGACCAAGTACAACAGTGATATTTTTGTTTTTAGTGGCCATCACAAGGCTTACGAATCATAAACTGTATTATGATAAATAAATAATAACTTGTATAATGAGTAAAGAATTGTATGAATTGTATGAGTGCATTATATGTATATTATATGAGCTATAAATTATATAAATAAAAAATTTTTTTTGCTTATTTTCTTATAATTTTCTAATAATAGTTTGTTCACTAATAGTATATTCAGAGGACAAACTACAAGCTATGTTTCCATACCTGTTTAGTTTGATTCACGGACCAATTTTAGACATCTCGGGGACCACCGGTTGGGAACCACTGATTTAAAGTGTTAAAGTTAAGACAACCCATCCAAACTTTGTCATTTGACACAAGCTTTTTGTGTCAATCCAAATTATTTAATTGTAAGCAAAATCAACTTTTTTTCAATAAACGTTAATGTTTTGTTACAAAGTATTGTTATTTATATTATTTACTGCAATTGTGCTAAAACAAGCTGTCTACAGATATTGAACATAGATATCGAGACCAACATTGAGATAACTTTATGTCCTTCTGTGACGCTTTAATAGCTTAGCTTTACATGTTGATCCTTTTTTTCGAGTCAGCACAACTGGGCACATTTACTCTTTGATAGCTGAGTGTACTATAGCGTCCCACCCATCTCATTGACTAATTTGTATATCTCTGATAAGCTTCATAATTATTCAGTAATTGATCTAAGATCTGCGTACCTCCCCATGCGGAGACTGATTACTCTAAGATTAGATAGTGCTAAGTAGGATAGCCTGTCCGTTTTCGCATATAACTTCAGGTCTCTGTCCCTTATGTATTTTTTGATCGGGTCTATTCTAAGGTCTCTTAGCATGTCGTTTGTGTTTTATTTTAGCTGTAAGAAAAAGCAATCCATGAAATCTAATCTTCAGTCTGTTGGAAACTAGCAGAAACTTAAATAAAAATTTTTGAGACTTTAGATCTAAAAAATTTGTTTAAACAAATATTGAAAGCACATAGGCTTCCCCAAGAATTTTATTTTTTTTTTTATTTTAATTAATGTGAATAATTATTTATATACTGTCGATACCCACAAAATAAGTTTGACAACTTTTTTTATCAACAAAACTTTCACTAGATATGCAAAAGATACTTTCAACAGTTTTGTAATTAAGTAAACTTAAAATCTAGAAGTTATTGCTTAAAATATCTTTTAATGAATGTAGTAGTTACAATGAAAAAAAAAATAACTAAACTACAACGAAACACAAAATCCCCAGCAGCGGAGATGCATTTATAAACAATGCGCTCTAAACAAAGATTTGTGGTGGCTGCAAGTCCCATGATGTTGCTGATGACGGTTTCGCTGATACTAATGTTAATGCAACCAGAGAGCACATTCGACCCATGAAGGCACTACATAACGCCACTGCTACCTAATAGACAGAACAAAATGAGTACGTAGACCATGAGGCTGGTAAGAACTATGGTAAAGCGAAAGCACCAGCAAACAGGGGAATGCAGCCTAAGTGGCACAACTTTGGTCGAATTGCATAATTTAAATAGAAATGTCAACGCACACATTACATCCGTACAATGTATGTAAATGCAAGTATATACAACGTTACCGCCAGTCAGCGAGATACCAGTCGTCATGCAACACAGAGCAGCACTGTGGGAGCACTGTGGGAGCACCAAGCACAAAATGTACAACTTGAAGTTGTTGGATATCCACAAATTGCACCGCCAAGTAAGATTTGCTTCATATAAAAATGCACACATTCAGCAATAAAGTGAGTTCCATCCAAATGAAACTTCGCTGAGAAAAGTAGATACATTTTGCTTTCACTACAAATATTACAAACACAAAAGAACAAATAAAAAATGGACAGACATACAAATAGACATGGAGAAACAAACGATTTGTGCGATTTGTGTCTAAAAGTGAAAGAAGAAAGTTTAAACTTTGAACACAATGACGGATTCCAACTTTGTTGTTACATCAACTTAAAGATACTTTTGTGAAACAGCTGCCGCTAAGGCTCTTTGGACTTGTAACAACTAATAATGAAGAGAAAAATTTAGTTGCACTGAGTCCCTGACGGTAAAAGAAGTTAAGAAGATTTTTACAGCACAAAGAAAGTTGCTGATCCCAGTTGCAGCAAATAATGTCCTTTATATATTTTCACACTCCATCTTTGCCTTGCACGTCTTTGCCACATTTTCATCACAAAAAAAAAAAAGGCAGAGTTTGCAAAAATAAGGAAACAGAATTTTCATATTCTAAGAAATTTAAATTTAATTTTATAATTAAAAATTTCATATAATTGTAGAAATGTCATATGTAGTGCCAATATTCAGTGTATAATGTATAAGGAATATTTATTTTAAAATAAAAATGCTGTTGGTAAGACTTTTGGCTCATGGAAAAACTCATGAAATATGATCAACCATATACAGTCGTTTGACATAGTCTCGTGTGAGTTCTTCGTTAATTATAACAAAGTAATTTCTTACCAAGTCAATAATTATTATATATCGTACCTTAAATATTCATTTACCTATCGGAATACAAATTTCATAAAATGAGAAATATAGATAAAGATAACATTTTTTTTAAAGTTTATTTAGACTTTTAAGCCAATGGATTTTTGTGAGTCC